CGGGTCTGGCCCCGAGGGAGTTCCCCCGGCAGCCTGGTCAGGACGTGCCTCCCCCGGGCTGCCCCGCACCGCAGGGTGCGTGAGGGGCGCGGGGAACACGCACGCAGGGTCTGTTGTTTGCTTGGAAAGCTGGGGCTGTTTCCCTGCAAACCATCTCGGCTGTCTGCGAGCTTGATTTCAAACCGGAGGAGGCGAAACAGTGACCTAAACGGCTTTTAGGGTGCTACCAGGAAAGTGCAAAAGAAGTACAGGGTGTTGCTGCTTTTCCTCTTTCCTGAGACAGTGAGAAGGGGATGGAGGAAAAGAAGGGCAAGACCTAGTTGCACTGTAAACCAGGGTTTCATCCTGCAGTTTTCCACACTGCTCAAGTGCCCCTTCTTCTATGTGCCCCCCACCACAGCCCATCACTTCCCTTTCTCAGGGCTTTCGGTCAGCAAGGGGGTCATAAACTACTAAAACCCAGCTGGAAAAATTAGTGTTGAATCTACCCATGCACTCCCAACATTTAATCTCAAAGTATATTTTAGCAGAGCAGCATTAATGGAATTTATAGAAAAGTCCTGTTAGTTTTGTTTTCCCTGATCCCCTTTTGGAGCCGTGATTTCTATCAGCTGTAGAAATGTAAATGCTATAGAAGAGCTGGGACTGTAAGGAAGGAGATTGCCAGATGCAAGATACAGGCAGCCTTATTATCCAGCAAAGGGGACTGAGGAGTGATTAATCACAGTATCAAACCAATGTATATAATGTCAGAGTACTTTCCACGGGGTTTACAAGAATTAAGCATGTCTAGTTATAAATTATGCTGGTATTAAAGGCCAGGGACCAGCTGTCCTAAATTTCTAAATAGTCAGCTAAGTCTTGAGATTTACAATTCTGCTCCATCTGGGTGAAGCACAGCCTGCCTACACCTTTTCTTTAATCATACCATCCACATAAAATTAAACCGTCCAATTTAATGGAAACACAGGCTTTTATTTGGAGTACACAAAAGATTCAGGTCGGGTGTTGCTAGTAGAGATCAAGGTTACCATGCTAACAGTGGGTAATGCGGGTTTCTACCCTTGCTGTGACACAGACAACCTGTGTAACAGCTTCACCTCAATGTGCTTCAAATCCCAGTCTGTGTAATGGGGATAATACTGATGGGAGCTTCTCGGGAACATGTATTAATGAACACAGGGAAAAAAATTGATGGTGAGGAGGTGCTAATGGGTCATGTAAGTATGTAGTAAACAGGACGTTTGATTTGGACACCTCAGTGTCTGAATTGTTGGGCTCAGAATTGCAATATGAGAAAACCTATGCAAAAAACTCCTTAGGTACTTGGACTGTCTGGTCAAGGTACTACAGATGAAGTTGAATCTCAGATTGGACTGTCATTTCATTTACACTGGGTGTAAACAAGAAACAACTCCACTGACCTCAGCAGAGCAACACGGAAGAAAAACGAGGTGTGTCTGGCACTTTCATTTTTTCTTTGTTGTTGTAAAAAGTTTGATATCACCAACACCATGATACACCTGGTCTTTCAACGTCTCAGATCAGTATCTGAGAGAAGTGGAGTTATTCCATAACCTGACACTGGTGTAAATAAGAGAGAGTTTGGCCCACACACAACTAGATTATAATCACAGTTCCAGCACCACCTCCCTGCACTCTCAGGCCAAGCAACTTCTCTGAATATGTTTCTTCATTTCTATAATAACACCTTTCCTGCATGTTCTGAGGACTAACAAGCTGAATGTTTTGTAATAAGCTTTAAAGATGCTGGGTGCTGTGTGAAGGCACAGATACAGGACACATTCAGAGGAAACTGAAAAGGAAAAGCCTTAAACAAAGTCATCTTCTCCGTTTCCGAAAAGGGGGCTAGAAGTTACTGATGTTACACAGGGTCCCCCAAGGTGTGGAAGTAGTTAATTTACAGTGAGACTGACCAACCTTGTTAAAGTAACATGACGTTTGTGCTGTTTAAAGGATCTAGTTCACTTTGCAGATATAACCCAGAGAAGTCATCTGCAATTACTCTTCAGGATGAAAAGAAGTGCCACAGCTTGCTCCAGTGGCAAAGCACATCTGTTTGGAGGGGATGGTGTGCAGGCTGTCTGTGGGTCAAGGCTTACTACTGTCTTTTATTCCAGTGTTTGAAATATGATCCAGGAGTATTTTTTTATTGCCTGTATTAGCATTTCCTGGCATAGTAGTACCTGTGTTTGATCAGTTGGATGTAGCTGATTCACCTACTTTTTTGATACCTAGATATTCTTTTGAAAAAGATATGAACTTCTCTATAGTGATAGAGATGCAGGTTTTTCAACCCAGACTACTGGATACAGTGTGATAATAGCAATATTCATTTGCCAGTTATAGAACACATTTCATACACAGAAACCAAAGTACTTTATTTTTGTAAATCACAAGTAAATAATACTCAGGAAAGCTCAGTCTGGCCAGTGGCCTGTTGGGAGGCCTTGGTTAAATCACTTAACCTAGCTACACGTTCATTTTATCATCTTTGTATTTATCCTCTGACAACATCTATTGGATATTGAGTATTAGCCTCTCTCCTTTGAGACCTACCAGTAAAGTGCACTCTGGAAGAGCTAAGCAGGGGTTCTGAGTGTTTATTTAAATGAGAAAATTTTGATAACAGGATCAAAGTAACACAGAAAGTCAATGAAGGTACTGAAAGGAAAACTTTCTGAATTCCTGCTCTGTGCCCTGCCTGCGTGGGAGAAACTGCAAAGGGAAAAAATAAAAACTAGCATTTATCTTCTTTGCCTAGATAAAACTTTAAGCCTTATATGGTCATAAGCAGTAGCAGAGAAAGGAGAAAATAAATACCTTGATCTTCATGTGAGAAAATGAGAGTTCACTTTTGGCTAATGTCACCAAATAAAGAAATCTATGTTTCAGTCCTCCACCAAGAACACACTGTTGAACACAATTAAGGTTCTCTCTGCTTTACTGGGCAGCCACACTATTTCATGCTGTGATCTTGTCGGATCCCACAAGCTAAGCATGATTGGGCTGAGTCAATAGTTGGTGTGAAAATTGCCAGGGAAAGCCATGTCCTGCAGGTGTTGTTGACTGAGCAAAGTGTCCTTCCCTCCATCCTGCATTAATGTGTGGAGACAGTGCTAGGGGGCACTGCGCTGCAAGGGATGGCGGCATTTTTTGCGGATGAAGCCAAGTTTCTTGCAATATCTAAAGAACCTACCCTGCTCAAAAGGAGAGATATCATGCTGGGCATCTCAGTTAAATTTCGGGAGAAAGAACTACCTTATGCTTATGCATCGATACTCACTGCAGTTTACATCAGGAGTGTATTAACAATATCATTTTCCTTCCACAAGTCCTGCTTGTGGCTGAGAGGAACATCCCAGAGATAGTTGCAGAGACTCAGATAAAAGCACCTCGGGATGTTCCTTCAAGAGTCATAAGGTGTTGCTGTAAATGAACTGGAGGTATAGTTAGTTACTTCCCTTCTGACCAGGTTGCATTGTAAGGGATGCTGGGTGCTGGCAGAAAGCTGCTTCTGAACTGACAAGGGCACCTGAATGTAAGTTGTGCTTCATCAAAATACAGGAGCTGCTGACTGAAAAAAAAAAAAAAGAAAAAAAAAAAAGAGAGAGAGAGAGGAAAGAAAGGCAGGAAGAAAGGAAAAGAGGGAGAGAAAGAGAGGGAAAGACAGAAAGAAAGAGAGAAATACCCCTGCAACCACCACCTCCAGAGAAAAAAACCCTGACACGTGTAGTGGCTAAAAACACTCCAGCTTATGATCAGACCTCAGCTGCCTTAAACTGAGCATGGCATGAATGAAGTCAGGAGACTTCAGCCTTGAGTCCAAACAGTCCTGCCACCTCCATGAACAATATATTCATTTTGAAAGCTTCTGAAGTATGAGCATTTTTCCATTTTAACTTTTCCACAATAACTTAGCTTGATTCATTAGTGGAGTCCTGCCATTAACATTCTAAATTGTCCAGCTGCCAAGTTGCTCAAAAGCCTCCTCTTGTCCTAAAAACTTCTCTTGAAGCTGATGATCCTCGTATCTGTTACACCAGCTCAACATCACACCCTCTAGGAGAGATAATTGTTTTTCTGCTTTTATGCAGCAGTTGGGAAAGGTCAGGTGCTTTTCAGACCCGTCTGATGTCCTTTTTTATAGCACAGTTACACCATGTCATTGGGCAGTACAGAGTGGTCATGCATTGCATTACCAAAAGATTCTCCTATTTCCTGACTGGCTGTTTCTTCTGTAAAATGTCTGTTGTTTCTCACACTGCCCTATGAGAATACTGTTTTGTTTAAAATGTTCATACTTGCTATGTTTTCTGAGTGTGAAAAAGGTTGGAAAAAACCCTGTTAATTCCTCCATTGTATTAGTGAACTTCATATGCTTCTTAAAGTAAGAAGACTCTTTTTTCAAAGATGTCTTTGATTCTATAA